GAAAAAAAAAGACCTTCAAAAACATGTGTCCCCCCCACTTTTAAGATGGTGATTATGCCCCCTTGGGAGGTACTAATAGATAAATACATGCCTGAACACACCGTCAACACTTAACTGAACCATTGTTTTCATTAGAACAGGAAAACTGTATGAAGACCTGACTCTCAGCCGTAGGCTGGCCATTTATGATGACACAATAAAATAGGCGGAGTCAGGTCCTGAAGATGATGTTATAATGAAGTGACGTCCTGAATTTAGGGGCTGAACYCAGAACTGAGAATAAACTGCCTTCAGACCGAGCGCTCTGGTGTGGTTGTATGAATTCTTTTCACATTCAACATTCATATATTGGTGTATTTTCTATCTGGTACAAACATGTAAAAAGGTAAACAAACACGTTAATTAATCTATTTCCCTCCAGTTATTTACACTGAATTATATGATTTACTCTGAAGTCTGTGGTTATTTATATTTACTTTGAGTTTTAGGGGTGCACGATAGTTAGATTCAAAGTACATTTGTTTTTATTGTTATWAATATATGATTTAAAATGTTTTTCTACCTGAAACAGTGCTTCTGAGAGTGTGAATGCATTACGTCCACATCATACTTACAGGAAGACACACAGAGAGCAGCAGCTCGATGGTAAACCGTGGCTAACAGGTGTTAGTGCATTATCCGTTTTGAACTTATGGAGTGACTTTTTCTCTTTAGTTTAAATCTGAGATCAGTGTTAAAGGTCTTTTTATAATTAATGTGCCTTATTTAAAAAATAGCCATTTGAGAAATTTTGTTGTGGATATATTTTAAGAAATGTTTGTTTGCTAAGAGTTTATTTCAAATAGTATAATTTACAGAGTCATTTGGTTTTTTTGTCTTGTTTATTTATGTTATGATCTTACCCATTTTTGGCTAGTCTTATCTCCTGGCATGTTATCAGTTATTATCGGTTATTAGCCATTAGAAGGAGAAAGTTATCGGTTATTAAAATAAGTTATCGTGCATCCCTAGTAGTTATTTACGCAGAATTCTGTAGTTATTTCCAAAATTATTGGCAAGATATTGCTCATTGCTCACACTATGAAACCTATGAATTATTTAACTAAAAGTAACATTGCCAAAGYCYCAAAAACAAGGTCAAATTTGAGAAAATTTGGCTATTTCATTMCAGGTTTAGATTATACAGCTCAAAATGTTTGAATCAGTTTACAGATTATTTGAAAATATGACAGATTCAGAGATTAAAACGTGCAAAAAGAAATGGCAGCTAAATAATTTAGGGGTATTTGTGGTTTTATTATAACAAACAGCTAAACGGAGACAAAACAGGGACAAATTATTTGTAAAGACAGAAATGCACATTTAATGCTACTTTAATCTAATGTTAAGAAATGGAGAAACCTGCAGAATCTTACTCACTTCAAAACCTTTTCAAATGTTCATTAATAAATAATTGAGTGGGTTTTTTTTCCAAACATGCATCAAAGTAATCTACCCATGAGATAATGACTCATCTCCTAAGAAAACAACAAAGGGCTGGAAGTAGAGAAAGAGATTTAGCAACAGGATGTAGCATGAGTGAAAACAATTACTTCAATCCGGTTTTCACAGAAAACATTTTCCGATTTGAAGAAATCTTGCCTGTAAACAGGCTTTTTTTTTTTTTGAATCATCACAAACCTTTGCCACCCTCTTTATAAATCAGGAGAAGAAAGGGAAGAGGAAGGGACTCACCGGCCACAGAATTGGGACGGGGCATGAGGTACAAGGGGATGGAGTGGGCAGAGTGGGAGGACATGCTCTCCAGGTTGCGCTCGGGGATTTTGTTTAGGCTGTAGGTGGAGGCGGTCATGTTTTCATCCACCCTGTACAGGAACGAGTCCATGCCTGATTTCTGAGACTGCCACAGCTTCAGGTTCCCCCGTGAGCCCTCGCTGTATTTGCCGCCCCGCTCCATGTTCTCGGAGTAGCTGGTCAGAGTGGCTGGAAGAGAGAACACAACTTCTCAAGTCATTTCCGTCGTGGTTTTTTTTTTTAAATTTCATACTCCGTCTCTCCAACCACCAAAACCTGTTCCGCTTTCACATATATTTACTGTAGCTCTGAATCAATATTATGTTGATGTTGTACGCTTTTCATCTCCAGCTGCAGGTGTTCGCGACTGTTGCCAGGAAACAACGATGGCACCTGCTCTGACATCGAAAAAGTGCTCCATATCAGCGAGTTCCTGTTGTCTTTCAGAWGATGCACAAAAACCGCAGCTGATGTCAACACAATCAGGTGCTTGAATCATCTACTGGGAGGACYAACCAGGGGACAAAACTACCAACTAGGCTCATCAAAGTCAGGGTTTTTTTTTGTCTATTTAATCCGAAAATGGGCGAAAATGCATTTTTTTCCAATTCGCACAAACAAGAATAGGCTGTGATTTTTTAAAAACTAGCCATTCAAAACGTGTCCTCAATTTTCTCGCAACTTTAAGTCATCAGCTAGCCACAGTCATGATTAAATTTGCAGCTGAGTTTTTAAGGATACATTCAAAGTAAGACCGCTGCTGTTTTTGGTTAATCTGGTGCATTTTGTAATCCTTTTAACYCCCAGCTCTAAAAGTTTACCTTTATGATGCTGAAACCACAAACCTGAACCTAATGCTACTRAAAAAATAAAATCTCACCAAGCTGRGAATGCTGAAGACTCAAAATTGTGAGCAAAGCTGTATTCTTGGCTGTGCACATTATTTTGTTGCCCACATAAAACCCACCTTAGGCAGCCGCCCCTCACGTCTATGATTTAATCTACTGGAGTGCAATTTTTAAATAGAGAAAGGCCGATTTGGACAATTTTTAAAGTAATTATTGGTCGTTTTTTTAAGACCTGGAGCTCTAATGAAGGAGTCAAAACAACTCTAATGCTCCTGAGATGAGTTGGAGACCCCTGCAACAAAAACCGATGGGTTTGACAACGAGAAAATTTGTTGCACTAATTTTATGAACATGTTCATAACTGAAGCGACTCACACGAGGAAAGTAAGAGCACACCCAAGTGTTTTAAGACACTTCGAATATTGTTCATCAGTTAGCCAAAACCCAGAGAGATTCTACTTAAACGGKAAGCTTTGCCTCACAGTGCAGCTTAAAAGTAAAGAACCTTTCAAGAAACTGATCTCAGACCAGTTGAACCCACATGTACTTTTAAAGTTGCGCAAATTTAAGATCTTAGGCCCAAATTTGAACAAACCTTAAAATATTTAGCTCCACTTTTACGATCTATTTGAATAAACTCAGCATTAGCGCGCCGCTTGTACCTATAATCCCGCTGTCTCTGCTTTCCAGTGTGGAGGTGGGACTGGTGACAGAACCGTAGGCGCAGTCCTTGTTCCCAGCCTGGCCTGGCATGGCTGTGGGGAGGGTGGAGCAGGGGCTGCCTGCAGGTGGAGAGGCAGTGCTGCTGGTCAGGGTGGAGCAGGGGCTGATCCTCTGGTTTGGGCCCTGCACATAAGACAACATTAAAACTTTTCTTCTTTTTTTTCTTTAAGCTCCAAAATCTTTAACAYTGTAAGCAGGAATGAATTAAAAATAAATACAATGCTTAAACCTTTAAAATAAAATAAAAAATAAAAATCTGCTTCATATGCAGAAAAATGCCATTTCAATATTGCAGTTTTCAAAAATGCTCAGCCGCCCTGTTGCTTTCACAACATTAAGTCAATTATTTTCCGGATTGTTCCTCCCACACATTTACAAACACAAACCGTATCATATTTTCACGTAATTTTTAGCATTTACCTGAAATATACAGCGTAATGCAAAAGTATTAAAACAATAACTCCTTTATGGGCATCTTTCTAGAGGAAGAAAACTCTGAGAGAATCACCTTCTTAGTGCTATATACTGATTTATGTTTGTATGTTCCTTCGAAATTAAACTAAGATAAAAATTTTGTGGCAATGTTGCACCTTCTTGTTTATGGAAACAAAATGAAAAACATCCATGGTTCCGTAAATCCACATAAATGTAGAAATGGTGGAGAAATTTTTTAATATTTTCAATTCAAAAATGACTATGGACTAATATTAATTTCTTTATTAATATTACAATATTAAAATAATACAATTTATAAATGATATATTACTGCTTTATAAATATGTTCTTCGTGAGTTAGTACACACTTTTAAAATACCTTTTCAAACATTCAAAAATACTCCTTTTGGCATAAAATAGTTATTTAGCTAAAAAAAAAACTAATCTGAGTAGTTAGTAATAACTTATATTTACCTGAATTATTAAAAATATGGTAGTGGAGCTTGCCCAACAGTGAGCTTACATGAGTTTTACAAATGAATGTTCAAGATTTAAAGAAGTGTTTYCAACTTCTGTAGTAACAAATTTATAATAATAGCTTTATTGTGAAGTGGAACTTTTATTTTTTAAATATTTTCTCACACAGGTCAAAGGGTACAACTGTAAGATCAAACTATTATAGTTTTAMTTTTATTTATTTAGAAATTTATTCATTTCATTTGTAACAATTATATACTGTACACAACAAAGAATAAAAAAAASATTTTATAATTAACTGTGTGGAAGATGATATCAACTGATTGAMGGGGTGGTGGTGGTGGTAGCACCAAGTGAAGTAAACCCTAAAAAGAAATTTGAGCTCTTGGATGACTTTCACTCAGATCTTAGATCTTAATTAGCGAGWTGGAGCTTTAACCTTTCCCACAATCATCGTCAGGAAAGACAAAACGCTGTAAATGTCAAAGTACTTATTAGCCATGAGCTCCTCTAAGTATTTAACACTTTTACAATAAAATAACTGATGCCAACAAAGCAGGAGACAACTTGAAGAATGGAAAATATTTCCAGGAAGAAAGTTTTCCTGTTTTTAATTAGGAAACAACAATTGTCAGAGATTAATAAAGATCAAGATGRGCTCTATAAGACAAAAACTTGACTAATCCTGGTCGTCGAGGGCCGCTATCCTCCATGTTTYGTTCCATCTTTTTACCATTTATTGTTCACTGCGCAGCACTTTGTCCCATYGCAGTTGTTTTTAAATGTGCTTTGTAACAGTTTTTTTAAATAAATCAAAAATCCAACGTACCAAAATCAAAAACAGCTTCATACTTTGATTTATGAAAACTGGCATGGGGAAAATAAAACTCGGATCTTAACCTCCCTGACGAACCATTTACCAATTAAATCTGCATTCTTGATTCTTTGAATGCAATTCAACTGAACATAAAAAAGGGATAAATCTAAAGCCCCTCAAACATACTAAGTATTTTTATTATTCCAGTCCTGTATTTTCCTCGGCGCCCTTCGGGGACCTTATTCCGTGTCAACTCCGGTTAGGAGACGAGCAACCACAGGGGACAAACTAAAAACACTCTGCTGCATCCAATCTGCTGCTGTAAACACCCACGGATCCACTCTTACGCAAAAGATAAACACAGGCGGCATCTGCAGATCCGTGCGAAGACACGGGAAGTGATTAAGTGTTTGTATTAGACACTGACACACAGAAACACTAGGAGGCCTCTCCTTAACCGAGCTGCTGATGAGATCAGGTCAACAGCGGGACGAACGCGGAACGAGCAGGAGGGGCCGGCTGGTGCTCGAGGCYAGTCTTAGTCTAGATTAATTTGTAGGAGGAAGACTGAAGGAARACAGCAGTCGATGTCTTTTATTAGCAGTCATTCAGGACCGCTGCTGAAACTAATTATGATTAGGACATTCACATTGACTCGTCTACCGAAGGCCGTCGAAGGTTGCAGCTCTCAGAAAAAACGGGCAGTCAATTAATCTTTAGGTTGGTAGTTTAACTCTGCAATTCYTTTTCCTACAAGTTAAGATCTGTTTGGAGAAACACCGATTCCCAAACAGAAAATCACTGCCAACTGTTAAAAGTTTTCACACAGATTCGGAGCGGTTACTCATCCGGCGTGAACGTAAAGCCGTCCACCAGTTCAAACACCAAATATCTTAGTGCTTTATCTGCCGGGCTAATGAACCTCAGCTTGTGAGGGTCTGACCTTAAATGTCGCAGGAGAATCGGACTAAACTTGTAACGTTACATCTATTCAGGGAGCGAGGGCACGGGAGTACGGAAGGCAATTAGCTGCAGCCTCTGCAAGTTTAAGGTCACCTTGTTCCGCCAGCTGGTGAGGGTTTGCAGCAGAAATTCAACAACGTCAAGCCAAGGATGGTATAGAAGCTTCATACGAACAAAAAAAAAKAGGACGGAGCGGACCTCTCTTACAGACACCTGGCTTTTAACAGCACAGATAATAGCTTTTATTTAAAACCTTACTTCTTTAAACCTGAAAACCTTGAAACTACTTTAATTGATTCTGAATGATTCAGTAAATGATGCTAAAATTTGAATCATACCCTTTTACTTGTGCTTCTTCAGTGGTAATTGTTTTAAATTTTAGGTAATAACAATGACAGTATATTAGGACCATCATAAACAAGAGACAGAAGGAGCTGGAAGGTGTCTAAATTTATGACAATAATGGCATAAAAAAACCTAGATAACCTCTTATGTTGTAAAGCACTACATTTGCCAAAAGAGGCTAACTTTACATGACTAAACATGCAAATTTACAAAAACCAGAACGATATTAAAGAAACCCAAACGTCCAGAATTAAAGGTCTAAAATTACCAGAAATAAAACAGACATTTACCGAGATGGTTACATTAGAAATTTTCAAGACGAAAAAAAAAAGCTAATTTTTTTAAAGATTGCAGTTGTTATAAATTAAGAAAAATTGACATTTGTATATTTTCTGAGATATTAGGTGGCAAATTTACAGGGGTTTTACAATTTCAGAGAACAAGTTTTGGTTTTGTAAATTATTTAATCATGAAGAATTAATTTTTCTTGCCTATTTAAAAAATTTCCAACACAGAAAACTCAGATGTTCTCCTAAGWAAATATGTGACATGGAAGCTGAAGTTTTTTCTCTAAAAGTAGTTTTTTTCTATTTATTTTATAAACAGTGACAGTAATGTGCTTTTACAGAAAACTAAAGATTATTTTTGATTGAATTTATTTATTTGAGAAAAAGGGGCAGATATAATAAGATTTTATCTTCGTCTGCTACCTTTCATTTAATTTATGATTTGTATTTTTGTTTTATGTTGATTTTATGTTTTTTTTTTAAGAAATGAATAAAGAAATGTTGACATAAATCAGTAAAGTAACTGTGATACATTATTACAAAACAGTAAAAGCTATACTACACAGAAAAAAAGCTGCTTACATCTGCTCTTTTATATAATACATCAGCCTTTAGTAGTACAGACTGGTTTATTGTGTCAAAGTGAACAAAAGTTTCCGCTTTTATCAGTTTTATGCATCAAGTCAATAATAAAAGAATCAAACGTGATTGTGATCCAGAACAAAGTATTTGGGGCAGACGTGTACAATAAGTTTGTATTGTGTGCCTGATGCAGCGTGGTGCTGATATGAGTCACGTCTCTAAAAAGAGCCGCTTGAATAAACCTCTCCGAGTTTCTCCGCCCCCACTACTCCAGCAGCGCTCGCATCGAGCACAGGCAGTCCATCAGACTAATCGTTCATCCACACTGTTTTAGTGCAAACCCATAGTTTCGCTTCGGCAACAGGTTGACCACCCCCCCTTTTCCCCACCTCCCTATTTCTCAGTCTCTCTCGGCTGCTACTGCTTTCCACCCACGATCTTAAAAAAAAAAGAAAAAAAAAAAGGAAAAAGCAATTCCTGTCAAATCAGGTTTAAATAGAAAAAAGCAGGGCATCTGCAGAAAGGCCCGCTGTGCCAGGAGCTGTTTGTTGCACAACTGTCAAATTCATAAATAGAAAGGTTATGTTGGAGGAACATAACAAAAAGTGGCTTTACAGGCTGCAACACAAAACACTTTATAACTGGGGAAAAAACATGATATAGAAATCTAATAAGATGAAATCTGCTGCTTCATGTCGAGCCACTGATAAATTTTAAATCTGAAGTGTTGCGTTGGAGGGTATTTACTGACAAGCTTTTTGATCTGCCAATCCTGACAGCTAAAGATTAAAAAAAATGCAAAAACAAGGATAGCAGGAGTATAAATGTCAAAACAGATTCAATCAGACAACTGAAAGCTTGTTCGAGCGCCTGAGCGCAATCTCGCAGAACAGGAATCAAATTAATCAAAAGCACCAACAAGGCTGGGGTGTGATCTATTTATAAGAGAAAGTAATTTATCCAACAGACTTAAGTTTATTGCAGATTGAAGTGATGAATGAACTTTAAAATAATACATAATCAACTTTTTTACCTTTTTATGTAGTTGACAATTCTGTAAAAGACTTATATGTACAATAAAATAAAATAAAAGATCAAGCTAAGCTGTGAACACCACGACTTAAAATATAAAAGTCCAAAGAATGTTTCTAAGATTCGTTTGCAACTTAATGAAACAATGTTTCAGTCCGGAGAAAAAGAAGGTCCTCCTTTCTTTATTCTGGGATTTTATGCTTTAAGTTATAATAAAATGAAGATAAATAACTGAAAATGTTGCATTATGGGGAAACATCTTCATATTGGTATCAACTTTTAAAACTTTCTGCAAGTTGTGCTGCTCTGTGCCTTTTAAAGAGACGTTATTTCAGCAATCCGTCCAGACAAACTTGTCTTTTTCTAATCATCCTTTCACGACCTTTAACCTTTAACCCGTAGAGTCCAAAATGAAGCTTTTGGGACTTTTTGTAAATTTTCCATCACTGCTGAATAATGGACTTCAAACTATTTGGAAGCAACCTTTAACCCTTCCCAGACTGATGGGCAGTAACAGTTAAAGATCATTGTTTTCAGTCTCCATACAAAAAAGTGTAAAGCTACGGTAAACAGTGACCAATATCCTCCATGTTTCAACAGAATTCATAGTATTGTAAAATAATTAGTCAAGCATCCTATAATGAATTGATGTCAGTTAACCTGAGCTACATTTCACACTGAGGACTGTTAAATGTCAGCCGGCACAGTGGGTCAGTGGAATAGCTGAGAAGAAATTAAAAATGCAGGAGCAACATCCAACAGATGCCTGGGTCACGTCACAGCAACAGCTTTATTTTTACACCACAACACAAAGTTTTTCTAGATAAACATATTCTCAAGTGCATATCCTTAAAGAAAGTTAGAGGAAAAGCTTTAAGGAGAGGAAAAATGAGTCTAAAAATAACACTAGTAAAGCAGATTTGGATCAGTTAGACTGTTACCTGTCTCGCCTCGGGTTCCTCCATGCTGTACTGTGTGCCGGCCGACCCCTCGCTCACTTTGTCTCCGAGAAGGAAACCCAGCCGCGTCATCAATGTGTTGGCCGCCTGATCCACCGACGGAGGGGGGCCCAGCTCCTGGCTCGACTCCCCTGCAGAGGCAGGTGGACAGGGGTGGGAGAGGAGGACAGGGAAAAGAAAGTAAAACTGTTTCAGTGGCGAGCGGAAACAAAAGAGCAGCTCACAGTAATCACAAGGAAAAAAAAATCCTTGTGTCCACGTCCTGTTTTTTGTTCCACTCGTTCAACATGAAACCCAACAGAAACGAGAGACCCGGACGTTAAGACACACAGCACCTGCCCTGAGAAACACAAACAAAAAAGAAAAGCACCTGAGTTCCCCCGCAGCTCAGCTCTGTGCATTACAAACACATTCCTCAACACTCCTTCAGGTAACCTCCAACATAAACTCCAAATCCTTTTCAGCCGCGACGAGAATTGTTCCCAGCTGCTTACAAAAACTCCTTTTCACGCTGAATGCCACAAAAAAAAAAGTCGGCGACAGCTCCTTCCTGTAGCTCATTGCCACTGCAGCGTGACGTAATGAGATACGCCCTTCACCTGCAAGTGAGTGCGTGTGAGGGAGGCGTGTGTGTGTGTGTGTGTGTGTCTTTCCAGGACAAAATGGGTGTGTGCACACCGCTGTCTATTTACAGAGATTGTAAATTGAGCAAAAGAAAACAGWAGCCTGCATGAAGATCAAACACCGAGAGAGACGGGGAAACTTCAGCTGCACCAAAAAAAAAAAAAAAACCTCTTCATGACATCATCTTCTTCACCTGGCTTCCCGGTTACTCTCCACCCATTACAAACCCTCACCGATGGTGTCATATTGATTTGATTTGATTTGTTGATTCAACAGGAAAAGATGACTAAAAATCAAGCCTGACTCAGCAAAATTGCTGTTTTACAGCAGGTTCCTGTTCTGCAGCACATAAAACACTCAGAAACACAGCATCACAATCAACAATGTTTTTCTATCACATCTGGCTGCCATGCCCCAGAGGTGTCTGCATGATAAACTCCAATTGAATTTGACCTCACTCACCAGAGCGTCACTTTCAGAGCGAAAGGTGTTTGGGTAATTACTCACCTTGCTGGCTGCTAAAAGAGTCCCCAGATAACTCGACGTATAAGCCTCTAAATTGATCCGGACATTAATGACATTTAGGTTCCAGATAGCTTCTGTTTAAAGGAAGACAAAAAAAAAAAAAAAACCCTGCTACAGGCAGGACCAGTTTTTTTCTTAAACAGGTTGAACTGGACAGACAGGTTAGCTACATGGAGCTCAGTGGTTAGTTCCAACCATCACAACTTTAAAACGGCAAGCCATTTTAGCATAAAATCGGATTCACGACACTTCCATTCCAGATATCTGAAATTGAATTCCGACTAGTCATATTTGTTATTTAATGGATCTCTAATTACATTTTGACTAGTATAAATGACGTCAGATTTACCACTGAAGTCTATGGAGGCTTCAATTCAAGGTATCTTAAAAGGAATTTTGACTAGTCAAAAATGCAATTCGAGATATCTCTAAGTTAGTTTTGACTAGTCACTAGTTGCTTTCAAAATATCTCACTTTTAGTTCTGACTAGTCATAATTCCAAATAAAGATATCTTAAATGACAATTATTTAAGATATCTTAAATGTACTTTTAGGTATCACAAATAAAAATTTGACTAGTTCAAATTCAATTACAGATATCTTGACAGCAAATCATGACTAGTCAAAACTAAATTAGAGATATCTACAACTGTAATTATGACTAGTCAAAATTCATTTTAAAATATCTCTAAATGAATCTAAGATATCTTGAATATTTTTTTCATCTAGAGGGCTTTTCTATTTAAGATATCTTGAATTAACATTTTGACTAGTCAAAATGACACTCAAGATATCGTGAATAATAATTCTGACTAGTCAAAACGTCACAGATTTACGTAGCATTTCGGCAGAAAAATTACTGCATAGACATCATAGCTCAGACCATAACGTTTCACTGCAGCCGCCATCTTGGATAGGTATCTATCTAGATAAGATATCTAAAATGACGTCACTGGATTCATCATTTGAAGGATCAAACATCCGTAATTGCAATTCAAGATATCTCAAATTACATTTTGACTAGTCAAAATTCCTTTTAAGATATCTTGAATTGGAATTATGACTAGTCAGAATGTTAATACAGATATCTTAAATTAACATTCCGGATAGTCAAAATGTAGTTATTCTTAGTCAAAACTCATTTTTAGATATCTACAATGTAATTACAGACAGTCAGACGAAACCGATTATATGCTAAAATGGCTTGCCATACAATACCTCCCTGCAGACAGACAGCTCGCCTGCAGCCTGTGGCCTCTCACTCATCGGCTCAGGGACACGCAGACAGACAGGCAATCTAAAGCCTGGGCTCCCCTGTCCATCTGCGCATGGACAGGAACCTCATTAGTCTCAGAGTCAGCCACTAAGTAAGATGGGCACCTTCCGAGGGAGGCGAGAACCCTTTGAGTTCAGCTGGAACGACTCGCTGCGGAGCTTCAATAAAAACACACAGCAGCAGCTAATAATGAGGTAATCACAGCACACATTAGGTCCAAAACAAGCTAATCACACATGCGCTTTGATGAGACAGCTGCTCAGTTTCACTGGCGAATACGTTTAGGGAGAGCGTCATAAGGAACCAAATCCTTTCGGGCAGCTCGAAGAGGAAAAACGGTGAAGTTTGGTGTCCATCCACAGACCCAGAGGACTGCACCCCTAACCCTACAGCACCTGCTCCAGCTGAAACAAAAAGGCTAAAAACAATCATTTACCAATAAAGTGTCTCTAATTTTGTGTTTTAAGCATCATTAGATGTACAGACACACAGATAAGAGGTTTCGTCAACACAAAAATGGCTATAATTTAGTCAGTTTTACAGATATGAACACAAAAAGTGGAGTGGTAATAGCCGAGGGTCATCCTAACCTATAATCTGAGTGCCACCTGGATTGGAGAAAACGTGAAGACACAGCTCTGAATGTCCAGGCCGAAACAGCTGTGTTCAATAATTATTTAAAAAGAAATTGTCCAAATTTATCTTCATCTCAGATAATAAAACTTGACAAATTATGCACAAAGAAGGATGAGGCAGTTCACAAAATGTGCACAAAGTAGAATACAATGTTTTTGTGTATAATGGGCTGTGATTAAAAAAAAGCATGGCCATGTTTTACTGGTTGTCAGAATTCATCCATCCAGCTAGCCTCGAATGCTTGAAGCCCAACGAGACTCTGGCTTTAACAAACACACAAACAAAAACTCCTCTGAAAATAGTCAGGTTCTGGATTCCAAATCAATAAAAAAAAAAAAAAAGGAGCCAACGTTCAAAGAGAACTTGTGAAAGGCCTTCAGAAAACCTGAGGAGTGATTGAGTTTAAAAGCCAACAAGAAAGTCCAGGTCTTCGGCAGTAAACATAAAGAGACGAGAGCCGAATCCTGATTATTTCACAGCACTGTACGTGTGTCTTCTGTATGTGTTAGCTGCTAGCTCGCTGTATTCCTGTGAGTCTGGACAAGAGGGCAGAGAAGGCTTCACAGCTGACAGACTGCTAGTAATGAGCAGTGAATATATTAGCAGTTATTAGTCAAGCTGCCCCTGGGAATCGCTCACAAAAAACACTATTTTTATTCTTTATTTCTACCTGCCTAAAGTTGATCTATAATGACTTTGCATCCGTTTCTTGGTTGTCATTTCACCCAGCTGTTGGTCGACCTGCAGGGACGAGCAGTTTGTCTCTGTGTTCTTTGTTTGCAGCGTTAGCAGAATTTCTTATAAAGCAGCACGACTAAAATGACTTTCGCCAACACAAAACATGTTATAACTAGGGCTGGGCCATATCGGATCATTCATGATTACATGAGCTCTCTAAATTATAGGGATGCACCAAAAAATCAATTTACATCAGAATCGTGATTCTCATTTACATAGATTCAGAATCGATTTCAAATGTCCTAAAATCGATAAAAAAAAAAAATCAAGCAAATCCAGTGGCTGTCAGCCTCCATTTTATTACTACGTGGGCCGTCCTGATGTCACCTTGTAGCTGGATCTGGAAGATGCACATGCACAGAAAGCACCAAAACAAAGAGGAAACTACAAAACTGGAAGAAAAAGAGATTTAACTGACCCCATCTTCATTAACTGCAAAGATTTGGACTCATTTTGGTTTTTACTGAATAAGTTCAAGTTTGACATGTGCTTCACTGTGTGCAAGGTTTGCAAAATGACGATGAAGCACTTTGAGAACACAACAAATGGGCTCACATTATCAGTTTAATAAAAAAAATCAATTTTGAATCAAATCGTGAGATGGTAAAAGAATCCCACCCCTACTAAATTATATAATCTTTTCAAAAGAATGTTATTTTAATAGAGAAATCAGTCAGTCTAACAAATAAAAACATGCAGTTAATTTATTTTGTGCAGTACAAAAGACATATTTGGTACATTTTTTAAATATAAAATTATAGTACATACATACACAGTGTGTTTGCACTGAAAAGTTATGGAGATGGTTAAATATTTGTATGACTATATCTGACTCAAGTTTTGACAAAATTGTTTTTTTAATTAAATATATTAAAAACACTAAAATGACAAATAGAAACTACAGAAAAGCTGTTCAAAATCTAAACTCTTCCTTATAAATCCCTTTGGTCCAAAAGGTTCAGGTTAAAATTTTTGTATAAAGCTTCATTACTAAACTGTGTACTTTGACTAAGAACATGGACACAATGTATAATGTTATGACTATACTATACTGTGTATTTGTGTGTGGTGGTGGCGGTACATGTTATCGTGCATTTATCCTTATCGAGGTGAACTGGTCAGTATATCGTGATGTTGATTTTAGGCCATAGTGTCCAGCCCTGGTTACGACCCAATCGTTCTACAGATACTGATGTACCTGCAGGTTGTCCTCAACACGTTCTCTGAGCTCTGGTCTCACGCTGATGCAGGTGATATGAACTTCTTCATTAAATGCTGAGCCTTATTTAAAATTTTTAAAAGCAAAATTTCTAATCTGGATGCCTGAAGTCAGATTAGATGCCTTTAAGCTAAACTGTACATGCTTTTGACTCCTGTTCCCTAAAAAACACCAGCAACAAACATCTGTCAGGGCCCGTTTTTCATAGCAAAACAACAAACATGGAGCTGTCACATCGAATCTAAATCAAAATCTCAAACTGAACAAACACAAATACGTCACATCAGGCTGTTATTAACGCTCCCCAGCTGCTGCTAATATAAATGAGCTACAATCAAAGGGGATTCATTACCATAATGCAGGGGTTGTAACATTTTCTCTCCATTTCCAGCCATACCTCTTGTTCTTTAAATATAGATTATAACAATCAAACAAACTGCCTCTGACTGAAGCCGGTGACAACAAGCGTCTACATCACTTCACAGAGAGATGACGGCGCCGTGAACGCCGTGCCATCAGCGCCTTGAGGAAACTCATCAGAGCGACACAAAGACACGTCTAGCGTTGAAGACAAAATACATACATCCGGTGTGAAACACGTCTTATCTCACCCACGACCAGGCCTCGTCCAACACACACACTTCTCTACGRTGGATTCCTGAGCTGCGAAGGAGACGGATGGTTGCTATAGCAACTATCTTTGCACGCAGCCAGGAATGTGTTTGTGTGCGAGCGCATCTGTTTCTGTCTGGGCGTCCACGAATCTGCACCCCCCACCCCCCTCTCTCGCACACAGAGAAAAGCCTGAGAGGAGCATGTGTGGTGCAGGCAGGTGGGGGCAGGACGGGAGGTGGTATTAATAGGCCCAGGTAGCAGGTGGGGTCCAAAACGCCACCTGAGCACCGCCGTACCTGTTCATAGACTCAACTGGTGGGTGCTGCTGGGTAATCAAGACTGACATAAAGCAGGAACAGTGTTGTATAAAGTACCACAAAATGATACTTGAGTAAAAGTACAGTATTTTTACAAAAAAATACTTTGGTAAAAGTTAAAGTCTCCTTTAGGAATATTACTTGAGTAAAAGTCTTAAAGTATCTGATATTTTTTGTACTTAAGTACTAAAAGTAAAAGTATCAATTTAAAATGAGCAGTTAGATTTTCTGTAATGACATTTATTAGGAGGTGACCTCCCCCCCCAAAAAAAAAATACAGAAATGACTGTTGTATTAAAATAATTAATTGATGTTAATTTTAGGATGTACTAGTCCAGCTGTTTCAGTTTATATACGTATATGAAGGCGGCGGTCAAATGCAATAATATAAGTCATGAAAAACAAATACTTCTTGAGTACAGTCCTTTAATTTTAATGATTATATCCTGCTGGAGTGTGACAGGATTTGTTTGTGTACAAACTAATACGGTATCAGAATTTTATATATTTATACTTCTCATTCAACCACAAATAAATTCACAATCTAGGAGGCACAGTTTATATGGATAGTATTTATTTTTTACAATAACAAGCTGGAATAAAAACAAGCAAAAATCAAATAAAAGTAACAACTTTCTACTTCGTGCCTTTTTTAAAAATGTAAGGAGTAGAAAGTACAGATAACTGTGTGAAAATGTAAGTAGTAGAAGTAAAAAGTAGGCTGAAAAAGAATTAAGTAAAGTACAGATACCCAAAAATTCTACTTAAGTACAGTAACGAAGAATTTATACTTCATTACTTTACAACTCTCAGCAGGAACAGACAATAAAAACACGGTGAGCACGTGATTCAGAGCTTGAAACGTAACGCCAGCATAGATGTTTCCCAGCTGAGGGACGGAAGGCTGATCACGAGATCAGATGGTGGAATTTCACATTCCGGGTGTGCAAACTCTTATCTGTGCAGCAACACTTAGAGGTTTTATAAATACAAGCTTGGGAGGATCCAGAACCCAGATCTTTAAATGTAACAGCACACAGCTTTTAAATCCTCCTTTGTCACATTTTAAATCATTCAGCTTTGATATGAATTCCTCCTTATTGTAACTCCACAAGCCCCTCTTTACCTCTGAGGTGTGTCTCAGATCAACTCATTTTAAGGCTGTCTCTTAAAATCCAAAGAGGTGATTCACACTCTGCCCCCCTCCAGCTTCCAGATCGGTCCATTCTAGTTTGATTGAGGGGTTTATGACTATATAGCGGCGCAGAAACTTTTTATTTACAAATGAATTAAAAGATGTCAACAAGGGAAGACTTGTCCATCCAGTCTCACATGTTGGAGCCAGAGTCTGACCCAGAACCAGAGGAGAATGAAGGCCACTAAATTGCAGTTGGTAAGTACAGACCTTATTTAGAAGTTCTGTCACAAACACTTTAACTTAACAGTTCAGAACACACAATAAAAAATAGCGAAAACTGCACAGGTTAAAAAATATGACCCCAAAAAAATAAAAAGATATCTACGCAGCACCAGGAAAATTTATTTTCTACTTTTCTGCACTCCTAGGAACTCCAAGTACACAACAAAATGCTTTCAAAGGCTAAAGTGGATTTTGGATGATATGTAAGGGTTGGTGTTATGATAAAACATGTACACATAATGAGTTTATATATATTTATGTGTGTGTGTGTGTGTGTGTGTGTGTGTGTGTGTGTGTGTGTGTGTGTGTGCTCCCAGTTATTACATTCTGAAGTTTTCATTAAAATTTGTCTTTTGGTTCTTTAATTATTTTGCTACAAGACAGATGCACAAATACGTAGTCGCAGGTGATTAAAAAATAAAAATTGGTCAAGCAAAACTCACTTTTATCTAAAAATACCTGGACTACGTTCACAAAAAACCCCATAAATTGTAACTGTGATCAAAGAAAACTAAAAAAGTTGTATTGATGTTTTAAAATACAGCTCTTCCTATGCACTCCCTGACTTCAAGACTTTGAAATTACTGCTCAGATGGCTGCACTCTCACATCGTTACAAAATTTATGCTCCCTTATAAATGGAGGATGGCTGGTGGAGATTTTCATGAGCCATCTCGCAAAATATTCACAATATTTATGAGATGGCAAATATCTTTTGTGGCCCATAAAACAAAAAACAAAACAAAAAAAAAAAACATGCCGCTCCTCCAGGCGACAGCCGGTGTCAGCTGCGGCAGCCGAAGAGTGGACTGGCAGGCAATCAAGTGTTTAAGTCACCGCCCTGCTGTTCCACACGCCACGGAGGCCTTGTTAAGTGCTCAGACCTCCATCTGTCCACCTGGGAGGTAAGAGTACTCACCCCTGAAAACTCATCCTGGCCCCTCGCGGCTGCTTTTCAGCTCAAGTTATCACTGCGCCGGCTGAGAATTCCTGTATGTAATCAACCGGCTCCTCTGTCGATTGCCGCACCATTTCATCCCTGAAATGTCCCGTCTCGTGGCTGATATATCACAGTCTACTTCACAGGACTGATGCAAAACAAAGCCAGGGTCAAGCATCACAGCAGCCACAAAACAAAAGCATCTATATTACTAATCTGCACATTTACGGAGAGATACGACATGTATTCGTGTATAAATCACCTACTTAGAATTCCCATGGGGCAGAAATTCAGCAGAAGAGGCTGACAGACGGAAAAAGCTGGTAAGACTCTTTCAACCATTCTTCTAAATTACACAAGTTAAGCCTCGATGCACCGCCCCCTCGAGTCCAGACCCCTGGGGTATATTGAGGTCCACATACCCAGCAGAAGTTGAGCCAACAAGACACAGCGAGATCAGACAGCAGATATATCAGAGCGCTATCCTCGAGTGAACCGCTTTAATGTCCTCCCAGATTCAGGAGGGGAGGAGAGTGTGCAGGGTTTGACAGGTTGGTGGTGGAGTGAATCTGGACTGTCCGCAGGATTACAGAGCAAAAAGAAAAAAAAGCTAGACAGTGAAGTTAACAGAAAACAGCAGTGGCACTTAAACGAGCTCCGAGAAAGAAGCAAGGGAGGATTAAAGAGACAGAGAGGGAGGAGGCGATGAGGGTGGGCGCCGTAGCGATTTGATTAATGACCTTAGCAATGTTTTCATCTTACAGTGGCATAACTGTCAAGCCGATAAGTTGTCTCTGTCTCTCTCTGTGCTTCTGCTACTTATTTACACACAGAAAACATGCAAAAAAAATAAAATAAAATAAAAAAAAAAACGCCATCAAATGAGAGATGAGCTGGCCAAAAAACTTACCAGGGCAGTATGTGTCCAGGTCTGTATTCCTGGCAGGGGTGGAGGTGTGTGTAGGGGAGCCAAGCTCTGATTGTGGAAGGCGAGGGCTCTCCACAAACTTTGCTTTCCGCAGCGGGGCTGGCAGCAGAAAGCAGTACGCACATATAGAGAGGGAGACAACACAAACACAAACACACATCAGGGAGATGGAAGAAGACGAGAGAGAGAGAGAGAGAGAGAGAGAGAGAGAGAGAGAGAGAGAGAGAGAGAGAGGAGTGACAGCCAGGGACAGGACAGGACAGGAAGACAGAGAGCTCATGAACTTGCGGCAGCACAACGATAAAACATCCTGGAGGCCTTTCTTGTTAATTTGTCTAATTCCGGAATTGTGCCACTGAGGGTGGCAGCACGTTGGAGTAGTTCTGTTCCTTTTATTGAGATTTTCTTTTATTTTCAGGCATTCATTCCTGCCTTTCTGTGGAAAAAGTAACTTTTTTGGATGGCTGTTCATTTGTGTTTTGGGTGCTGTGCAGCTGGATTGGTTTTTGCCAATACTTTTTTTATACTTTGCTTTTTGTTATGATGCGTAACCATAGCAACAGGGTGGTTTACAACAGGGAGCAGTTGATTAATATTGCAAAATCTGAAATAATACATGAACTGAAGCCGCAAATCCAAGAGGAGTTGAAAAGAAGGCATCGTGGATGCAGAGCTGGAGCAAAGAGGCGAGAGAGGAGTAAGTTCAAACCATCACTTCCATCAATCCTAATGGGACACGTGAGATCATTAGCTAACAAACTGGATGAACTTCAAGACCTGACAAGGACTCAGCAAGAGTGTAGGGAATGCAGTATTATGTGTTTCACTGAGACATGGCTGCAGGATCATGTCCCTGATGCCAACATCTCTCTGCCAGGCTTCCAGACTATACGAGCAGACAGAGATTTAAAGGGCAGCGGGAAAAAGAACGGAGGTGGATTAGCAGTGCTTGTCAACAACAGATGGTGTCATCCAGGACATGTTACTGTGAAGTTTCGTCACTGCAGTCCAGACATTGAACTCTTGGCAGTGAGTTTTTGTCCATATTATTTACCAAGAGAGTTCACCGGTGTTATTTTTGGCAGCTGTTTACAATCCACCATCAGCTGTTGCTGACAATGCATGTGATATCGTCAGTTCCGTTGTTGCTAAGATACAGATACAACACCCCAATGCATTTGTGGCAATATCTGGTGATTTTAATCATGCCTCACTCTCTGCTACACTGCCAACATTTCAAAAGTTTGTCAGCTGCTCTACCAGAGAAAACAAGACAWTYGATTTGTTTTACACAAATGTTAAGGATTCTTATATCGCCAATGCAAGACCTCCTCTGGGTAATTCAGATCACAACCTTGTTTATTTCTGCTCAGAATATAAACCACTTGTTCAGAGACAACCTGTAACTACAAGGACTGTGAGAAAGGGGGTCACAGGAAGCTGAAGAAGCCCTACAGGGATGTTTTGAAGCTACAGATTGGATTGTTCTTTGCCAGCCACATGGAGATGACATAAATGCATGACTGAGTGTGTGACTGACTATATACACTTCTGTGTGGACAACACCATCCCCAGCAGAACAGTGAGATGCTTCCCTAATAACGAACCCTGGATCACCAGTGAGCTAAAGGAACTGTTAAACAAGAAAAAAAGAGCCTTTAGGGATCGAGACAGGAAGTTATTGAGGAGTATACAGAAGCAGCTCAAAGTCAAGATCAGAGACAGCAAGGAGGTTTATAGAAGGAAGCTGGAGAGTAAACTGAAAAGGAACAATATCAGAGATGTGTGGTCAGGGATGAAGAAGATCACAGGTTTCAAGCAAAAGGAGAATTMGATGGATGGAAGTCTGGACAGAGCAAATGAGCTGAACACATTCAACAGGTTCAGCTCAGGAACAAGCTCATCTTCCTCCTCTCCTAACCCTAGCCAAACAGACATCTCACCCTCCTTTGACCCACAGCTTTCCTGTCTTCTTCAACCTCAGTCATGGACTTTTCTTCTACAGCCACAAGTTTGTCTTCAACTAAATCAGGAGTTGCTGCTGCTCCCTTTCCCTCCTCTCCCACTTTTCTGTATCTAGAAGTCAGGTGAAGAGGCAGCTAGAGAGACTGAACCAGAACAAGGCWGCAGGTCCAGATGGTGTCAGCCCCAGAGTCCTGAAGGCCTGTGCAGACCAGCTCTGTGGGATTCTGCAACATCTCTTCAGCCTTAGCTTGACCCAGGAGAAGGTGCCAGTGTTGTGGAAGACATCCTGTCTGGTTCKAYTDSCAAAGAAAACTCACCCATCAGCCCTCAATGACTACAGACTACTACTACTACTAATGACTACTACCTGTTGCCCTGACATCCCACATTATGAAGGTCCTAGAGAGACTCCTGTTGACCCACCTGAGTCAGGAAACAAGCACACATCAGGACCTCCTGCAGTTGGTTTATCGTCGTGGAGTTGGAGTTGACGACGCCATCATACACCTGCTTCAACAAACCCACTGTCATCTGGACAAAGCAGGCAGCACTGTGAGGATCATGTTCTTTGYTTTCTCCAYTGCTTTTAACACAATTCAGCCTGATTTACTTTGTCTGAAACTCCAGAAGACTCAGGTGGAGGCCTCAACAATCGCCTGGATCAAAGACTACCTGACAAACAGACCACAGTTTGTGAGATTGAAGGACTGTATGTCTAACCAGGTGGTCAGCAACATAGGAGCACCACAGGGAACTGTACTCTCACCATTCCTGTTCACACTGTACACTTCAGACTTCCAGCACAAGTCAGACTGCTGTCATCTACAGAAATACTCAGATGACTCTGCAGTTGTTGGGTGTATCAGAGATGGACAGGGAGCTGAGTACAGCTGGTGGACCGCTTTGTGGCATGGTGTGGGAACAATCCTCTCATCTTGAATGTGAACAAAACAAAGGAGATGATTGTAGATTTCAGGAGAAATAGTGTTAGATCAAACCCTGTTTCCATCATGGGAGAAGATGTAGAAGTGGTTGAGGAATATAAATACCTCGTTCTTCATCTGGACAACAGATTGGACTGGAGACTCAACAGTGAAGCAGTCTACAAGAAAGGACAGAGCAGARTGVWCTTCTTAAGGAAGCTGAGATCCTTCAATGTCTGCAGCAAGATGCTGCAGATCTTCTACAAGTCTGTTGTTGAGAATGTCATCCCTTCTGCTGTCATCTGTTGGGTCAGCAGCATCAGAGCCAGGGACCTAAAAAAGCTAAACAACCTGATTGGTTCTGTTCTGGGGACAACTGTGGACTCTCTGGAGATGATGGTGCAAAGAAGGATTTTACATAAAATCAAGAACATTGTGGACAACCCTGACCATCCTCTTCATCAGACTGTCATAGAAAGACAAAGTGTCTTCAGTCAGAGGCTTCTTCAACTTTGCTGTAATACAGACCGCTACAGAAGATCTTTCCTGCCCACAGCCATCAACATCTACAATAAGTTTTTAGTCAAATGAGTTACAACAACACCAAATTTCCCTCTGGGATCAATAAAGTATTTTTGAATCGAATTTGAATTGAATTGTGCAGCTTTGTTTTGCCTCGAGAGAGACTAAGCTCAAGCGTGAGTAAACAAGCAACACGGGCAATCAAGACATGGGCGATGGCAAGCTTCATGTGTCATCAGCCCACTGATGGAATCTGAAAATACCACCAAACCTCCTGTAAACGGGCCTACAGCTGACAGAGAATCCAAAAAAGAGGCGAGTTTGAAGCAAATCTTTCTTTCTTACAAACCTCTTTTTGGTTCCACGAGGTGCATCTCTGAATTCTAAAGGACTTACAGTTTTGAAAGTGTTACGTATTATATAAAATCATAACTTTCATAGCCATGTTCAGTATTCAAAAACTGTCCATCTTACCAAGTTTTAAAATCTTTTATCCAGCCAAAAAGTCTCTTTGATCTTGTTTTGAGACTGATTTACTAAACAAGAACTGACTGTGTAAGAATAATAATCTTGTTTTCAGAATGTGTAAGATTATTTGTCTTGTTAGCCTGAAAATTTGACTCAAATTAAGTCAAAATATCTGCCACTGGAGTAAGAAAATTTTACTTGGTAAGATTCTTGAAATAAGAAAAAACTGAGTCAAATCAAGTATTTCAAGAATCTTACCAAGTAAAACCAAGTTTTACTTTTAAAACTTGGTTAGGTGGACATTTTTTAGCCTTTTTTTTTTGGTGGTCAACAACTAAGCATAATTTACTCTTACTGGACTAATCTAGGTTTAAAATAGATTATGCACTGTACACTGCAACTGTTAACCATTATGGGTGAGTGCACAATTCCAAAGCAATCTGGCAGAGCGACGCTGGACTTAACCAGGGTGCAGCGAGCAGGAAGTCATGAGCAGCAGCTCAAACATATGTTCGTGCAACAATGGCTGAACAATATGAAGAAGCTCCTCGGCACCGCTGTTAGTGGTTCATGTTGCATTTAATGGGAGTATGATGTGCCTGCGTGTGGGCACAGTTTTATCTAGTAATTACAACAGCTCGTATTGCATCGGTGCAGACTTTTGGTTACTATGAAAAGAAAAACTCAGCATTTACATCCTGTATTACAGAAAATGTGTGCAAAAATTATGAAGGTTATTGCAATAAATGTGTCAAAAATGGTCACAGACTTCTTTAGAAAATAGAGATAATGCTAATATTTTCTCTAATTAGCAAGCTCATAGCTAAGCCTGTAGTTGGATAAAAAAACTTTGAAATAATTTGCGCCTTTATGGGAAAACGTTTCCAAACTGAATGCTTCTATTCAAAAAAGGGATTAAAAATACATTAAATAACAATGGTCACAATGTTTTAACTACAACTGCAATTACGTACCTTTCTTTTAAAGGAATCAAATACTTTTGAATCCTTCATTTCCACATTTAAATCATTCAGTTGGGGTCTATATAAAGTGGAACTGCTCCTTACCGTAACTCCACAAGCCCTTCTTTACCTCTTTTCTGAGATGTGGCTCAGATCAACTCGTTTTGAGGCTGTCTCTTTAAATCCAAATGAGGTGCTTCAGATGCCACACACCCCTCCAGCTTTCAGATCGGTTCATTCCAGTTTGATAGAGAGGTTT